CATTCGGTTTACTGCACAATTATGCACATGAAACAGTGAAGCACAGTTGTTGGGCAGCACAAAAGTGCAATCTGATATTCCTGTGAGGGACTGTTAGTGCAGTGCACAACATGACACAGCTGTGCTTCCTTGAGGTGTTAACTAAATGACCCAAAGAGTGACTTCGGCATAGGAGGGTTAATGTGAGAAATTGAACTGTAAGTAATACTTCTCAGGAAATACAAGTAAGAGTCAGATTTTTGTTTGTGCAGAGCTCATTATCACAGCAGGTGGGGAGAATGTTCCACCAGTACCCATTGAGGACACCATCTTGAATGAAACGCCTATTCTCAATAACTGCATGGTGATTGGTGACCGACGCAAGTTCTTGTCACTTCTTGTAACTTTCAAGGTAGTCATTCATTTTTACCAGTATTTGGAGATTTCTGGTTAGGATTTGCTGGTTGTGATGTTTTTGTGATCAGTATACTGGACAAGTCTGAGTTGGTACTGACTGAGAGAAAATTGCTGAAGTGCAGGTTTTGGAAAACTGAACTGATTCTTTGTGATTTAAATTCCATTGGAATTTCATTTTCAATAAGCCATTTCCCACATTGCAGTAAACAATGATTGCAGTTCTATCAACATGTCAAAAAGATGTAATTTGTTGTGATTTGCACCATGGGAATGGATCAAAATAATTGCACTGTAACTGCCAAACAAATGGGCTCTCTGTCAGACATGAGATTGACAGACGCTCTGTAGCAAAGCATGTGCTATAGAAACACCAAGACATACATCTACAGTTTGCTATGCAAAGCTTGCATGGATAAACTTCCAGTTGGATCCCACAACATAAATCTGAAAACAATTTTTGAAGTAATTCTGCTTTGGTTGACGGTAGAAAGAGCAATCTGAGCTCTGTGTCGCTCACTTTGACATTCTGCTGAAAATGGACATCAAGTAAATTGTCCACTGGGGGAAAACGTTGAGGATTCCTGTTGATTTATGTTATGCAGAATTCCTTTATAGACGTGCCATAAAAGTGGCTCAAGTAACTTGTGACTATCTTTGTTTAGGTCCCAGTTGTTGAAAACTAAACTCATGACTTCCAGAACAACAAACTTGCTGTATTTTGACACAGAATGACAGACCTGTATGGCTGCTGAGCTGACTCCTCAGTATATGTCACATAAGATTAATCTGGAACACATGATATTTGCAGGTGGAAATGGATGAGGAAACTCAAGAACCAACAGAGGAATTAAATGCTGAGGCTCTGTCTATCTGTGAGAAACTAGGTAGTACAGCAAAGACAGTCAGTGAGGCTGAAGCAGATGAGAAGATCCAACAGAGCATACAGAAAGGTGTAGACGCATACAATAAACAAGCTACCTCCAGAGCACAGATGGTACAGAAATGGAAAGTTGTCAAGAAAGATTTCACTGTAGCTGGAGGTGAACTTGGTAAGTTCATAGTTGAAACTTGGTTCACCAAAACTCCCTCTAATA